TCTCCTTGTGTGTGGGATCGCCCTGCGTGACTTCATCACCACAGCCACGCTGACGCATTGATGCTCTCCTACTCTGTAGTTAAGTGATGGTCTGCTGGGTCTATTAAAACGCACCCAAATTGTAACTTTCTTTATGGGGTTATCAGGATTATTGGCAGCCTCACACTCTGTAGCTGTAGACGCATGAATCGTCAGCCTGTCTGCAGCCTGCACAGTCAATTTTTCTGCAAACTTGGGCATTTGAAGGAATTTCACCTCCCACAATTGGATTGTCCTGTCTCAAAGTGCTCTCTAATATTCTGGGCTACACTGCCTCCCTGTGTCTGTAAATGGAACTGTTTAGCTTTTCTTTACTCGTAAACATTTGAGCACCTTCTCAATTCAGGGAAATGTTTCCTGTGTGTTTAATGGGCTCAAAGCTGAGTATTCTGGTTCCATTCATTTGTTTGTAATACAGTTCTGAACATCATCTCTGTTACTCAGTAGAGATGTTTAGTGCTGAAGCAAGTATATCTTCAAAAGTGGATCAAACCATGTGAACCCACTGTGCTGGTGTCAATCGTGTGATGTGAGAGCTGATTTCTTAGCCATTAACCTGGTACCAGTATATATATATATATCTTATTTGCTTCACTGGGGCAAACACTGAAGCTACAGCCAGATTTTAATTAGAGATTACAATGCACTGGAGCATCTTGGTAGCCACACTGCATGCCACATAATTGCAATGTTTAATTCAAGCTGAGGACCTGTGTTAGATGAAACGCCCCTATACCTCTCTATCCTAGTTTTACCTCCTCACAACCAGCATCCATTTAAAAAGTGTGTAAAAAAACAGCAATAAAAGGTTAAGTCATTACACCAGCTGAGGTGCTATCTAACTAAGCTATTTGAATGTTCATTCAACAGTCTACCATGATGCTAGTAGATCTGAGAAGCTGTATTTTTGAGCTTTAAGCTACTGTAAATACTAATACTCTTGCTGTGACAATGCGAATATGCAAATGTTTTGCAGCTTTACAATATTTACTTTGTTACTGTATTAACATGGTAATATTTGCTCATTTGCATACAACAACAAGATAGGAATGTCTTTAGTTTTGCAGGATTTTATTCTTAAATCAAAATGTTGGACAAATTAAAATTTGCCTTGACAATGTCAAATAATCTGAAGTATAACAGAGGTTATCTCAATTCATCCTGAAGGGACAAAGACTTGAATATCCCAATGCACAAATTTCATTTAGTGATCAAGGCCTTTCATTAAACCCACAAATGTGAAACCTCATGGTGGCGCTGGAAGAAAAGTCAGAGGTTCACAAAAATATTGGGGATTCAGTGTCAGGTAAGCTCCCGTACATTAAGAAGATGTTGATATTTAACTAAATAATAGGACTGCTGGTGGCTCTACAGACTTCAAGTCTAGGGATCAACAGTCATGACAATTCATCTTCTGGGTACCACAAATATCTGTGCGACATGTTATGGTGATCCTTACTGTATCTGTCAAAACATTGAACTAAAAAAGGGCAACTGAATGGTACCACTAGCATGAAGGCAACGTTGACCAATAATTTCTAGGCAATCCACGTGAACATATTTCAGAGTGGACCAAAGTAGTGGACGACTGACTGACACTGTTGTCTTTAGTGCCACACGTGGTGAAAATGTTCCTTTGTTGCAATGGTTAGAAAAAACAAACTGAAGATCTCATCAAAGTGATTCAGGACTTCAACCCATATTGAAAAGTTCTCCTAAGTTTTCCTCGCTGTTCTTTATGTTTCAGAGCCAGGCCCAACTTAACAATGGGCCCCATACCCCTGTGTGTCCTGCTGCCGGTTGTATTGGCTGTGACGTTGGCTGCAGCTGCTGAGGAGAATGCAGTCGATGATGAGTATACCTGGCCACATTGGAAGGTGCCTCTGGTAAGAAAAAGACGTACTGTGCATCTCAGCAACCCCGACTTCTCAGCCCATCCACAACCGGAGTTAAGTGGGACCTGTGGGATCGAGTGTCAGCGTCTCCTCCCTACACCTTCTCTGCAAGACCTGGAGCAGTTCTTGTCCTATGAGACGGTCTACGAAAATGGTACACGCACGTTTACCTCAGTTTCTGTGCAAGGTCTCAATGAGGTCACAGCCTTGTCCAAAAATTCCTCAACTCACTCGCGCCGTAAACGGGAGGTTTATGGCACAGACACCCGCTTTACCATCTCTGATAAGCAGTTCTCAACCAAGTATCCCTTCTCCACCTCTGTGAAGCTCTCCACAGGATGTTCTGGGGTTCTGGTGTCACCTAAACATGTACTGACGGCTGCCCACTGCATTCATGATGGGAAGGATTACCTAAATGGAGCGCAGAAGCTACGTGTTGGTATTCTGAAGGAGAAGTCCAGACGAGGGAAAGGAGGCAAAGGGAAAGGAGGGCGAGGAAAGGGCAAAAGGAGAAAGGGAGACAAAGATAAAGAAGATGTCGAAGAAAAGGAAGACAATGTTGGGAAAGGGGATCATAAAGGGAAAGGGAAAGGTAGGAAGGGTCGGAGTCGGAGTCGGCGAAGCGCAGAATCAGAGAAACCCTCTTTCAGGTGGACCAGGGTCAAGCAGACCCAGATTCCTAAGGGCTGGTTCAAGGGTGTGTCTGAAGGGCTGGCTGCAGATTATGACTACGCTGTTCTCGAGCTGAAGAAAGCCCCAAAAGTCAAGTACATGGATCTGGGTGTTGTCCCCTCAGTCAAGAAGCTCCCCGCTGGGAGGATCCACTTCTCTGGCTTTGATGATGACCGGCCTGGCAACCTGGTCTACCGGTTCTGCTCAGTGTCTGATGAGTCCAATGATTTACTTTATCAGTACTGTGATGCCAAACCTGGCTCCAGTGGCTCTGGAGTCTACATCCGCCTGAAAGAGCCCGGCAAGAAAAAGTGGAAGAGGAAGATCATTGGAGTTTTCTCCGGTCACCAGTGGGTGGACGTAAGCGGAAACGGGATGCAACAGGATTACAACGTGGCAGTGAGGATAACACCCGTCAAATATGCTCAGATCTGCAACTGGGTCCATGGGGACTCAAGTGAGTGCCAGGGGGCCTAAGACAACACAGGATCCCCCCTCAACCACCTCCCCACTCCAAACCCTTAGACTACCTAAGAGACATTTTACCTTTTCTAAGCCCCCCAACCTTCTATCACCAACCAGGGGCCCGACGACTGCCTCTTCTCTTCCTGCCTCCCTGTTACCTCCTGTGCTCCCCAACATCACCTCCTCCACTGACACACACACACACACACACACACCACACACACAAACACACCACACACACAAACACACACACACGATGACACAGCCATGCAAACCCCTAAAACTAAACTGGCTCTTTAGCTTTTCTAATTTATTTGCTTAAAAAAAAACAACAGAGAAAAATATGTATTGTATGTATTTACAGGTTGATCGGATCTGCAGTTTTGCTTTCTTTTTTTCCCCCTTTTTTAAAAAGATTTGACAATTTCACATATAAGTTTGGGAAGCTTGTATGTTGTTTGTGAGTGAAGCCAAGTCACATCAATCGTATATTCCACCTCAGCTTTTTATAGAGATCAAGTGTTCTTCTCCACCACTGTAAAGGAGTTTGTGTGAATTGGCTTTGAAAAAAAAACAAAACAGGAAAAATAAATGTTAACTGTTGTTTTATAAATGAACTATATAGAAATATTGAGATTACATGTTTTTAAACAATTTAATGAGCTGGTGTTTTGCATTGTGTATATCTAGAAGTTTTTTTTTACAGCTATCTTTCTAAATAAGACAATTTTTCTTTTCTGTCACAATAGAGAAAGGGTTCTTATTAATCCTGGATAGAAGAATTTTTTTTCTGATTTGTGAGTCTCTAATCATATTTTCTCTGTTCTTGCAAAGCAGTGAAATGTGGTTTCATTGTTGTGCACATGATTATATCGGTGCTTATCCAGAAGACGTGGTGCTAATTTATGGAATTGTAAACTTTTGTTTGTTTCTTTCTATTTGAATAGAGGGGGGGCTTCTCAGAATATATTTTGATAGCCTAGTACTGTAACTATGTATTTAATGTGAGGCTACATATTTGGGTTGCGTTCAGATGGGACTGAACCATTAAACACATTATTTGAGCTGTTTCTGTGATTGTAAGGGCTAAATAAGATTAAAAGAGTTATATTGTTATAAAATAACAAAATCTCAATCCAGGATGTGATATTTTTCATGTATTTCCAAAAATTCATACGAGAATCTTTTTGAAAACCAAATAGCTGAAATTGATCTGAAATTAATGATGCAGATTGAAGACCACCACCCATTAAACTAAGATTACTACTTGTGTGTGTTTGTGATTATCCAGACAACAAAATAACTACAACTGGTTTGTGGGTAACAATCACTATGAGACCTCAGCGGGTAATGGTTACTGTTCTTTATGTGACCTCTGGCTGTTTCACCACAAGTCACGCAACTGAACACTACATATGTATAAGACTTAATTATTTTCATGGGACCCCAGTGCAGATGATTTTTTGGGCCCCCTTGCAAGTGACCAGAAAACAGATGACTTTAATTACAGCCTGTGAACCAGATTGTACATGGCAGATTCATCATACACACAGACACCCGGAAACCAACCAGTGGTCTCCTTCTGGAGTTCAGAGCATATACTGTACAACATAACTCCTGGTTTTCTATGTGTCAGTTAGACTGCAATAATTTCACATGACTTTGACACAAATTATAATGTGTCAAAACTAGACTCTAACTCAGAGATCATTCTAAAAAAAAGGAACTACAGGATAAGATAGAAATGAAGGAACTGCAGGGATCTCTATTTGACTTTAAACATTTCTTAGCAAATGTCACTAAGACTTGATTTCCAAGTTGATACTGCGCACTTACTGATGAATAAAACGTATACAGATGCTGTTGGATGGAACTGAAGCGAATCAGATTCTCTTTAAATAAGACATAATCCTTCACAGGAAGTTCAATCCGTCATTGAATTTATTGCATCTCAAAGGGCTTACATGCACTGGAGAGGGTCATCGTAAATAAAATAATTTCACAACTAAACAAAAATACATATTTTTATAATTCAGTCATGAAAAATGTCAATAATCTCCCATCATTTTCTCAGATTCTCTCTGGATTCTCACAACCAATTCTTTACACAGTTCAGTGAAATGATGAACAGTGTCAGCAGGTTACAGCACGGGACTGGGGCATGAGGTCATACATCTGAATACAAATCTGAATCCAAATACAGGTCAACACTACAACATATTTAGTCCACTGTAAGTCAGTGGGAAACAAGATCATGGCTCAATGATGATCTCTGGGTGTTTTTACACACTGCTCCCATGTGGCCACATACAGTATCACAGGAGTTACACTGATGGGATGAAGGTCAACAGTGATCAAAGAAGCAACTCGAAAAACATTATGTTCAGACATCAGTCAAATTGGAGTTTTTCTTTTTCATAAAATGTCACTTTTCATCACCCACACTGTCATTTGGTCCGACAGGATTGGGTGCAACATGGATCTTAAAGGAACTCTGTGGGTTTTATGACCACTAGAGGCACTATATAGCAATGTTTGGTTGTTTGTCTCTGCATTTCATGTCCTTTTAAACATCGTATCATATTTTAATTTGAACTGTCTGAACATAGAGTTTGGTATGACAATGGGATATTCTATGAGATACAAAATAACCATACTTACTTGTTCTTTATAAGTTATAATGTAAACACAAGCAGAAGACATACCCACATGAGAAGTGTCAATATCATAGGTAGACACTTATATCGACAGTTGTACAGTTACATTGAAGGGCAGTTTAATTCCATCTTTATCATGAATTAATCAACATTTTCTCTGGAACTAAGTTGACCAGGATGTTTTTTTCTTAGCAGTGCCAGCAAATATCAACATCAGACTGGAGGATTATTCTAAAAGAACAGAAGATATAAATAAGTCAGGAAAGACAAAAAAGAGACAACGAGTAAAAAAAAAAAAGAAAAACTGAAAGGATCACTTGCTGGTCCAGTAAGATTCAGAAGCCTGCAGAGGTTGTTTCTTAATATACAGAATATTAATCATACAGCGGTATTCATGTTTGAATTTCCAAATACTTTCGGATGATGACGGGAAATAGAAGGATACTCACACAACTTCTTACAATTTCATGTCAGATTCACATTTATATTTCTCTTCAACAGACACACAGAATAGAGACAGAATCCTCGCCAGAGAAGTTTATGTACATCGAAGAGGACCGTTCTGTAAACAACACACCAAATGTTTCTCTGAAAATCTACAGGGGCTTTGTTTACCACTCCCATCCAGTCAGAGTGGGACAAAGACGAGCCCCTCCCCTTTCAGAAGGAGGCGAGGACAAAAGTATGGGGTCAGTGGGAGGAGCTTAGGACACTAAAGCACATTCATCATTCAACTCAACACTAGAAAGAAGTCTAAACACATACATCTTCACTTCCTCTCACATACATTTGTGGACTTTTTTTTTTTTTTCAGGGTTTTGTGTGGTTTTGTTTAGACAAAAGAATGATACATCTACATAAGCACAAGCTTGTTTTTTTTTCTCTCATATTTATTTATATAATCCGCTATGGTTCACTTTCACAGTTTGTGCTACAACATCACACAGGAGAAGGGGTGGGGTGTTGATGGGCGGGGGTGGAGGAAAAGATGCTCTAAGGTTGAGAAGCTGAACATCGCTGGCATCCTGAGATGTTGATGGACACCAGGTCCCTGCTCCACAGAAGAAAGCAGCTGGAGGACAGGAAACAGAAAACATTTTTCAACATAAGAGTCAAGTGGTTCTAGGGGGTCTGGGAACATTTTTAATGAAAGCTCTGTGCTGTGCAGTCATTTTTGTCTTGATTCGAAAACAGAATGACAGACGGATCCCAAAGTGGTACATTCCAAACAGTCCTTTACACAGCTTTTGATGTGTAGTTAATAAACCAATTGCTGGGTGCAATATTTATTATTATTTTTGCGTAAGAGCAGAAAGAAACAAGTTAGAACAACTAAACTCAATGCAAATTCAATTTAAAAAAGTGACCCAGAAGTACAAAAGAAAAGCACCTTTAGCAAACATTGATCAACTGTTAAAAGCACAAAAAACATAAAAATGGAAATATAGATCATTCATTCAATTTGCAGGTACTGTACTTAGTATCAGAGCAGCTATGAAGCAGCTGTGAAGGAGTGACAAATATTTGCAAAGGTTACAGTCTTTTAAAAGAATATTTACTACTTTTTAAATGTTACATTGAAGTTATTTCTAAGGTTTCTGTATATGTAACCAGAGAGGCTGTTCAATCCTAGTCTTCCCCATTATGCAGTCTAAAGTGTCCAAACTAAACCCCCAAATTGCCCCTGACGTCTGTGCCGTTCTCATAGAGAAATGCTGCACATACTGTAGATGCACTGTGTGAATGGGTGACAGCAAAAATTGTACAGTAAAGGACTTTGAATGGTCATCGTGACTAGAAGAGCTTTATATTAATACAGACCATTAAACCATTACAATGTCATGTCGAAAAAATTGAAGGAGTAGGCTACAAATCTTAAATGTCTGACATCAACAGCAGAGACATTTGTTCCGTCTCTCCATCAAGTTTATCATAAGCCACGTAGAAGCCACATATGCACTGTATCAACAACCATAAAGTGAACAAATGAAAGTCACTCAAAATCTGTTATTGTGCTTACTGTGCTGTAAATGTACAGCGCTGAGCTCCCACCTGGGGCATTATAAGAAGTCCTTGAGGTCGAGGTCTGCCAGAGGGTCCTTGGGCTTCTTGGGACTCTGGCTTGCAGGTCCTGGAGAAAGCTGAGAAACAGGGAAAAGGAGAACAGATATGAATCAATGTCAAATATATCCACGCAAATGTTTTTACATCATAAATGGTTTCATCAGGTGGAAATCATGTGTGTGCAAACCACAGGCCTGATTTAATGTAGGCTTCTGTGTGTGTGTGTGTGTATGTGTGTGTGTGTCTGTTACCGGTGCTCCTGGTGCAGCGACTCCAGGTGCCGCTCCAGCCACACCTGTGAAGGCAGGTCTCATCATGGGCTGTACCATCATTGGCTGCCCCATCATGGGTTGCATCATGGGAGCTCCAGGCCCTGCTGCTGGAGGCTGGTGAGACAGGGAGAGCACAGTAGACTGGGATTTGTAAAGGCAAAACAGATTCATCACAAACAGCCGTCAGGATTATCTAGATTTGTAACTCAAATGCAGTATTATACATTGTTCCCTGAGAATGAAATACATCTCACCATGGCAAAGCAAGGCTGTGCACTCATTGGTGGCACCATGGCTCCACTAGGTGGACCAGCTCCTGGTGCTCCAGGAGCTCCAGGGTTGGCCCCAGCCTAAAAACAAAGACAGACGCAGACAGAGACAGAGGTCAAGTCAAAGTCAACTTTATTGTCAATTCTGCTGTAATATAAGTAGACATAACATAACATCAGCGCAACTGGTATGTTCTTAAAACCTTAATCACAGCTCACACAGCTTGTGGGACTTTTGATGTTTGCATTTTTTCTGCATTAATGACAGAAAATTACATTTGTTTTGTGACTTGTTTATATCATTTCTGTCTGAGGCAGCAGACACGGATCTCAACTCAACAAGCAGAATTTAAACGTCTCTTGGATGACGTTTGATCTAATGGTGGTAGAGTCCATATTGTTCTTACCATGGGGGCTCCTGGTGTTGCCCAGCTTGTTGGGGCTACATGTGGCGTCCAGTTGGCGCCTCCTGTGAGCTTCTTCTCACTCTGTGGGTCCCTGAAAGAGATGAAACACAGGACAGATCTGAGAGGTTTGTTCGAATTCCAGGTCTTAAATTAAAACTGCTGTGGTAACGTTTGAGCATTCACAAGCATCATGCATGCACGGAAATCACATATTTAAACACACTTACTTTTTCTTTACTCCGAGGTCTGAAGAGAAGAAAGAAATCAAAGTTAACTTGACATGAATGAATTATTCTAAACATAAAAGACAGAGCTCAGGAATGAAAAACTGCTGTTTACCTCCAATCAGGTTGGCCAGTGACGAGTCCAGATCCCCTCCAATGGTTTTGGTGGGAGGCGGGGTGGCAGGGGGAGCGCCTGCCATGCCTCCTAATGCGACGGGAGTTCCCATGCTTCCAGCAGTGCTGCCCCCGGTGCTCTGGGGCGTGACGGCGGGCATCAGCAAGCCGCCTAATCCATCAAACACTTGGGGAGAGGGTGGGAATGACGGGACATCAGAGAAACAACACAGATTACAAACCTGCAAATCCCTAATCTTACTACAACACAAGCAGCGGACAGATGTGAGACCAGACAGTTGGGTGGGGGTGCAATCCAGTTGTGACAGAATTGGTCATTATCTGTGCCTCACATGCACAATGCAGGACTGTAACTATGTTGGAGCATTCAGAGGAAAACAACTCCAGCAACTCTCTTGGCTCGTTGCTTCGCCAGTTTACAGGTCAGGAACTTAACCACTGGCTGCTTCTAAAGTAGCACTGGTTTGAACCAGATGTCATCAAGGCCAAATATTTGGTTTTCATTCCAACTGGCTGTGAAATGAAAATATCAATTGAAATTGTTTAAGAGGCTTCACAGTGGCAAATTAAATAGTTTCCAAAAATGATTCAAAAAAATGTTAAATGATAAAATGTTTAAACTATAACAAGATTAGCAGAGGTTTCTTTCTATTCTATTCTTCAAAAAAAGAATAAACAAATTAATCAATCAATAAATAAGATATCAGAAGATCAGCCTGGTAAAATAACAAATGTGGAGCATCTTGTTAAGTTAGGCTTTAAAATAGGTTTCACAAATAACAAAATCTTTCTTAATCAGCACCACATCATCATAGGTGTCAGGACTGGGAAAATATTGTGCAAGAAACTGTCTCTTTTGAAGAAAGAAATGTTTGGTAGTGGTCAACTGTAGTTTTTTTTAAAACAATAAGATTGATTCAAAAGTTTGAATCAAGGAGGAGTGTAACTCCAGCAAGCACAGGTTCTCCTTTCCTTAATATTTTCCTTATTCTCAAATTATTATTACTTTTTTTCTTCTAACATTATGACTTTATTCTTGCAATATTTCAACCTCATTCTTGAAATATCAGAATCACTATGTTTTTATTAGTGTATTAACAACTAAAACTTAGAATCATTGTGTTTTCATTATCTAGCTTTCTTGATTCTGATCTCTGACCAAAGAGTAACATGGAACAGTACAGAATTTAAAAGTGTTGCTGTAACCCTTCAGGTCTGGAATGAAAACCTTCAGACCTACTCTAGTGCAAGTGGACTCAGGACTTGATGGCATGTGGTTGTAAGAGCCACTGCTCTAAAATACAGGGGGAAATAAAGATACAGTGTACAAACGTAAATGACAGTAAGTTGCGTCTCATGCAGGAGTCAAACAGGGCTCGTTAAGCAACATGCAAAATAGAAACATGGTTAGAAGACGCCGAAGGGAAGAATCGTCCGAACTGCACATGCTGCAATGAACTGCAGTGTTCAACTCACCAATTACAGATTAGAAGAAGCAAACAATGATGACCCAGCAGAGAGGGGGGGGGGGTGTGAACAGGAGTGAAAGGAAGATTTTTTAAAATAAGCCAGTACAGTAAAGGTGTGGAGCAGAAAAAAAGATTGTGAGAGGGCGGTCGTGAATGATGAGGAGGTGGAGAAAGCACAGCATTTATGAGAGTACAAGAGAATAAAGAGAAAGAGGAATCATTGCGAGAGAGGGAGCAGCGCTGAGGAGTAAAGCTGCAGAAACAACAGATTCATATCAGGAGGACAGTGACAGCAATAGCAGATCAGATCAGTGTCATTCATGCAGAAATCAAGCTGTGAGCAGGAAGAGATGACTCGCTCCACTGTTAACATACAACAGTTTTAATGAAGCAGATTAAAGCATCAAGCAGGAGACCTGTCAAAATGTGAATAGGAGACTTTTGGTTATTTTCTAATATTTAACAAGGCACCACAATCACACAGATCATTACAATGAAGCTAAACAAAAGAAGATGATTCCTCCAACACAACTAATTATGATTCACTTACTTGAAGCATCAAAGCCTCCAGAGGGTGCCGATGTAGTGGTTGCGGATTCTGGTGCTGCTGCAGCTGCAGCAGGGACCGGTGGTGTTGGAGACACCAGCGAGCCCAGGGTGTCAAAGCCCGACTCCAAGAGGTCATTCTGTGCTGGAGCTGGAGCCAAGGGAGCCAAGGGAGTCAAGGGAGCCAAGGGAGCCAAGGGAGCCAGAGGTGGAGCAGCAGTGGGGGCCAGGGTGGGGGACATCAGGCCTGAGGGACAAAACAGAGAGTGAGGTAAGATAAAACACACTGGTTCGTATCAGAATCACCGTTATTCCATGACCAACACACATTCAATATGATTACAGACCAAACAGGTGGCACATGAGGCATCATCTTGGATATGTGTCTGGAGAAATCCATGCAGAAGCTCATAGCAGCAGCATAGAGCACCGAGGAGAAGCAAATTACTCAACCAGTGGCAACACGAGGTCTTCTCATCATATTGGAAGTCTAATTCCCTTCCAATATGATGAGAAGACCTTGTGTTGATAACAGAAAAACACAGCATTATAAAACAATAGTAAGGAAACTAGAAAATTCCTCCCAGAGAAATTTTGAATGGGTGCCTTATGCTTGCCGCCGGCTCCACAGAGAGACATTTCATTTGAAAGGAAGGAGAGAGTGTCTTTCAGGCTTCCTAGGAACATGCTGTAATTATTTGGGGGTTTATTTTGAAAATCAGGCATCCTTCAGCTTTCCTGGTGAAGTCTTATCATCATTCAGGACTTTTATTTTGAAAATCCAGCCTCCTTCAGGCTTACTTTTTAGGTCAGTGAACTATCTGTAGGGGTTTATTTTGAAAATCCTGGCTCCTTTCGGGTTATATGGTAACATCCTGTTACTATGGGTAGGGGGGGCTTATTTTGAAAATCTAGGGTCTTTACAGGTGTCCTGATCACATCCTGTTACTATGGTGGAGGCTTATTTTGAAAATCCAGGCTCCTTACAGGTGTCCTGATAACATCCTGTTACCGGGGGTGGGGGGGGCTTATATTGAATATGCAGGCTCTTTGTCTACAAGAAGGACCTGAGCCGGCTTTACTTCCTGAGGAGGCTCGGGTCCTTCAATGTCTGCAACAAGATGCTGCAGATGTTTTATCAGTCTGTTGTGGCGAGCACCATCTTCTCTGCTGTGGTGTCCTGGGGTGCGGGCATCAAGACGAAGGACACCAACAGACTGAACAAACTCATCAGAAAAGCTGAGTCTGTGGTTGGCTCTAAGCTTTTCACCCTGGAGGAGGTGGTGGAGAACAGGATCCTGGCAAAACTGCTGGCAATCATGGAAACACAATCCCTCTCACCCCCTCCACAAAACACTGGTCAAGCAAAAGAGCAGCTTCAGCAACAGACTCATTCAACCCCGCTGCTCTAAGGAACGATACAGGAAATCGTTCCTCCCAACCGCAATACGACTTTACAACTCATCTACCTCTGTCAGAGCCACCATCACAGAACTGCACCAAATCTACCTGTCACCATTTACTTCATGTTATGGAATTTTCATCGACACTCTCTCTTGTCCTCATAATGTTGTGTTTGGGAAGTGCGAGAGCTTGGCGAAGGTCAAAGCCTTCACTCCCTAGACATCACAGATATAAGACTGCGTAAGCAGACACTACTGTCTCCATAACTAGTAAATACATTTGATTGTTTAGGAACTAGCAGACCCATAGATTAAATGATCTGTTGGGGTTTAAAGTGTGACTGCAGGAAAGCAGACTTCAGATTATGAGAGCATCCTGCACAGATGTTGCATGGATGAATTCTGATTTTCTCCTTGGCCAAGCTTCAATAAATATTTCAGCATAAGAGGTCAAAGGGCTCCTGAACGCTTTCTTCATTGATGAGTTGACCATTGATCAGCAGATTTTCCACAACACTTCATATCATATGTGATATGTGTTATTATTATGTGATATTATATATCTTTCATACAATATTCTGGTCTTTTTGCACATTCTATTTACAAATTCATATTCACAGGATATTATCATCCTGTGACTATGGGGGGGGTGTCCTCACTCAGTTTTGAACTCTTGACGTTGTGTCACTGGTCAGGTGATGTAATCACTGTCACTGGTCAGGTGATGATGTAATCACTGGTAAATATGAAGAGGAGCCCTCTCCTCTGTGTGTGTATGTCGTTGCTATGGATACTCACTGATTTGATTGTGTGCACCTGTTATCTCTCAGCTCAGACAGATGAAGAAGCTCTGGCTCATCCCTCAAACAAATGCTTCAACTCAAAAACTATATATATATATATATATATATATATATACAAGTCCTATCTGTTAAATAAAAACACCGTGAGAATCCCAAGACTTCCCTGAATGTACATATATATATATATATATTTATTGGTTAGAGTTAGAAATGTGACCTCGGGATCGAGTTAGAAAATTTTCACTGTTCTCCTCTCGGACCTTTTTTTGCAAAATGAACATGGCATCCAATGGAAACCAAAAAACCTTTTTCAAAACAATTATACAGCCAGAAGCATAGGTCTGAGAGATTCCATAGTTACATGTCTGCGAAGCAAACAAGCTCTGTTTTATTTTGATGTAAAAATCATGTCTGATAACCTCCATTTGTGGCTTTGAGAGCAGTGTTAGCACACACAAAGTCGCTTTCACACTCGCTCTAATTCGGCGAGAGACCTTGACTCCCATGCATTTGGTTTTCGGTATTTTAGCGATTTGCGAACGAACCGCTTGACGAATGTCTTAGAAAAGTCATAGCACAGCCATCAAGAAAAATGCGCACGGTTTGGTTTCACCTCTTTTAGGTTTGACACTTTCAGCACATTTCGGTCTGAATGTGGTCAGTTTTACTTCTAATGACGACTTCCCCACTGTTGTAAATAAATACAAACCATTTACCATTTACTTTCTTTTGAATAAAATATTCCTCTTCCACCACAGATCACTATATATAATCAAGAAGCAGAATGTACATTGTTTTTCTTCTCAGGCACTACATGTGCAGCCCATTGAAAATATACAGTGTCTAGGTCCGCTGATGTTCGCCTTAAATGATTACAGTTTTATTGTTATTGATGCTACACAGTGTATGACTCATCAAGGCTAACAGACTCGAACAACGAGGCCCTACATTCAGATTTTGCATACTGAAAGCATATAATGTTGGTGTTGAAAATGTCATATTCTTTAAGGTAAACAGAGGAAAACAGAAAAAGTAAAAACAGAGAGAGCTTTGGGATGTTAATCAATATTTGGCCATACACCAATGACAGATACAAGATTTGGCATCACTCTGAGGTTTAGTGTCTTTTTTCACACAGGACACTAAACCATTTTAGAACTTTCTAATTAAATCAACCAGTCCTGTGCCAAGTCTGTGCCAATATTCATTCGACTGATGCATCACCATCATTACTTTCTGAATACTTTTAAGCAGCATAAAACATTTCCAAGAGTTGTTTGCCAACTTCACAACTTTTTTCCAGGCTGCAGTAATTTGAGCATTATTTTCATGAGATGCTTTGATGGAATTCTAAAAGGTGTGTCACCTCCCAGCAGGTCATCTCCGGGCCCTCCAGGAGCAGAGCTCTGCGTCTCCTCCACAGGGCTGCTGAAGGAGTCTGCAGGGCCGTCCAATTATCCACAACGCAGCATGGAGGGCAGAAAGGAGTGAGAGGTAAGCCCTGGACCACACACTGAGACACGATGGGGAGGTGGGAGACAGGGAGACAGATCACCCTGACTACCTCGATAAATGCACTTGCCCAGAATATCGTCCTATAGCAACACTAAAAACTCAGATGAAAATAAGTGGAAAATTGACAGGTGAACTCTGAACTGTTCTCAAACACCAAATTCAAGGACTTTTCAAGGACTTCCTAGGCTCAAATGTCTTCAAATTCAAGTTCCAACATGGTTTAGTTTGAGAGTGTAGACGGAATATTGTGTATGTGTTGAATATGTTGTATATGTTTGAAACACAGTTCAAGGTGAATTTCACAAACAGTTTCTACAATGGGAGCTAGCCTGCTTTACAGTAGCTCACAGACAACAAATCAAAAGAGAGAAGCTGGAATGTGTGTGTGCTATCTATCCATCCATCCATTATCTATACCACTCCTCTTTTGAGGGTGTACCTTCATATTATATTCAATTTAAAGACTGGGCAAGCTGTATATATGGTATATATTATATGTTTCATAAAAAATACATAAAACCTCTGTGTTTAATGTATATATAATTTTATTTAATCAAATTACTCTCAAGTTATTTGATTACTCACACTAACTCAACATAGAAAACACTTCCACGTTACATATACATTTAATATGTAAATAAAATACACAGAATCTGTGTTTTAGGCATTATTTTTTGAATGTGTCTTCCAATAGCCGTTTAATTATTTTGGACAAATCCTGATCAAGTAATAGTGTATCCAATAAAGGTTAGGCCAGTGTATTTAGTTGAACATTGATGATCGCTCTGAGACTACTAGACTACTACTCTCTGTTCTGTATCTATGATCTGTCTATTGTCTTATTTAAAAAGAGCTACAATCTATCACTATACTACATCAGCCTCACAGCTACAAACCATAACCTCAGAACTTACTGTAACAACTGGATGATTCAAAAAAACACCAAGAAAAAAAAGCCACGTTAAGTTAAAAATGTACAAATGGTCAGAATGGACAAATATATATACGGTATATACATATTGTAAACAGCGCATGTTGTTTCAAATGATGTATATGTGTGTGAGTGTGTATTTGTGTGTTAGTGAAAGAGTGCAGCACAGTACCCAGCAGGTCAATGACTGGCGCCGACTCTACTTTGGGTGGAGTCGAGGCTTCTGAGCCTGGAGCTTCAGCAGGAGCAGGGGGAGCAGCAGCGGCAGGAGCTGGAGATGTAAACGAGTCTAAGCAGAGAAGAAGAAGCCGGAAGGGATTCAATTACTCTCAAATCTTCAGGGCTGCATTAGTCGATGACGGCTTTATTTCCAAGCAGAGAATGCTCTGTTCATGCACTATTATGCCTGGCATGCAGAGAGGAAGCAGGAGAAGGAAGCAAGCACCCCTGCATTTTAACTGTATCCACATCCTTGAAGTTTGCGCCATATGGTATTGGACTGGTGGGCTTGTGCATGCAGACACCAGCTCCATGCAAAAGATTAAATCTTAAGTCAAGTCAGGTGTCTTGCTGCACCCTTCGTCGAAAAAAAAGGAAGGGAGACATTGTTGCTGTAAAGGTAAAGCAGCTAAACTCACCCGTTACAATGTCTCCAGCCGGAGCCAGCTCGGGCAAAGGAGAGGGCCCGCGTGAGACAGCAGGAAGGTCTAATTTACCCAAGCAAGCGAGAGGCAGAATACGAGAAAGAAGAAAAAACGTGGACGTCCGGGGAGCAAAGAAAAGCATTAGCGTGGCAGTTTAAAGACACAGCGTAGATAAAAAAGCAGCCACAAGACTGAACAAGTGAGTACATGCACAGTCATCATACCACTATGGGGGGGACAAACCAAGACGTGTGGGGCGAAAAAAAAGACAGATGACAGAGAAGTGGACGTATGGAAACCACAGGAGATGAAAGAGGTTCCACACAGAGAAATGGATATCAGCTCCTGTACCTGCACCAAATAGGTCTACGCTAGGAGTGGTAGCAGCTTTGGATTCTGTGGTGGGGCTTTGCTCAGGCATAGAATCAAACATATCTAAGAACAAGGACACACAATCATATGGACATTCAGAGTTTAAGTCCAGTGCATACAGAATGATGAGTTAAGAAGAGATGAGGGAGAGCAGAGAGATCATACATTTGGATTATTAATCAGGTAAGTTGTTGTGTGTCTGTTCAGTGCAATGCAAAATCAAACAGTGCAAAATAGGGAATATTGCAAAATTTCACCATGAAGACAATAAAATGCTTTTTCTCTTTGAAGCAGCACAAGTGTGACCAGAAATGACTGTAGTGTTTACGGTTCTGTGACATCACAGATTTAAGTCTGTGTCCATTGTTTAGTAGAGCTACTTGAAAAGTCAGGGATCCCCTGCATACATCTTCAGGAAACCATGAATATCTTGAAAAAATTTCATTTGGTCAAATAAATGTGAGATTATTTCCAGTGAAGACCCCACAGGAGAGGTCAGTAGATCACTGCTGTGAGTAAAATTAATCCTGCTGCATACCTGTATTTTAAAATTATGCAATATTCCCCTTTAACTAAAGTGCATAAGCTACATTCAAGCATTCTCCACTGTCACTATCTAAACACTGGTCACAAGCAGAAGAAGAAAATACTTTTCTTCCCTCTATATTATTTGTTAGTATTAGGTTAATAATCAAAACAAGTTGAGCCCCCTCTGATAAAAATGGAGGGAAATAGCTTTCAGGGTTTTGGTGGTCAAAAAGTGCATAACTAATGGGTTACCTTTGAAAGCAACAGACACAATGGCCTTCACTGTAATTGTTTTTAATATCAAAATGATTTCCGTTATGCAGAGGAGGTCAAGATGCTTGATTAGCTTGTTTAAATGATCTGTGTCTGAAGGAAAAGCATCATGGAAAATAGAAAACCAAATTTGAAATGTAGGGTCTGGGCAGGTTGTTATCATTGTCACTAACTTCATCATCAACATCATCATCATAAACTAGCAGGAGCAACACAGTCATCATCAAAACCTTCACCATCTTCATCATCAGTGTCATAATGCAGGGCAATGCAGTGAGAGGCAGAATGAGAGCAAGAGGACTTTACCACCAAAGATATCTAGAGTCGGAGCGGCTGCAGACTCTGTGGTGGTGTCGGTGGTGGTTGTGGTAGTAGTGGTGGTGGAAGAAGGGGTGGGAGCAGCGGGGGCAGCGATGGGGGCGACGATGGTCGGCGCCGCACTAGAGGTGGGAGGGGTGACGGCGGCAGCGATGTCTGCGGTTGCCCCCGTGTCCGTGGGCCTCATGGCGAATAGGTCCAGCTCTGGAGCAATGTCTGCACTCCCCTCCGTCGTGGCAAATGGGTCTTCACGAAGAGCAGCAGGGGTGGTGGTGTTGAGGGTGGGGCAGGGGGGTTTAATTAGAGAAGAGGGGATGGGGGTGGTGGATGGAAGGGGAAGGGGAAGGGGAGGGGGATTTAGGGTTTGTTAGAACAGCAAACACGGTAAAAAGCATATTTGTGAGGCGAGATGCCTCTGAAGCTCCAATTCAGGTAATAAAATAAAAAAAACATGCACATGGTCCCCCATCGGCTTCACAAGGAACTGACAGTGACGACCAATTCTTCAGTAACTCATCTTACTGTACAGAACTGACCTTAAGAGAACACGGTTGCATGCGAGAGGTTTAGTAACATGCATTACATACAAGCTCAAAAACTATAATGGAATTAAGAGTGATTAAAGAAACTCCACCTAAATACTCAAGGACTAACAGTGACTTGTTTTCATCTGTGAGAACGCAGCCAAATTCAGTGTCAGCTCAATATTACTCACCCAGACATCGGTATAAACTGAAACTGGTCATTTAAAGCTAGGGTTGGTAATCCTTGAAAAACTAGCAAGACCAGGCTACACTTTGAAAAAATGTGACCGATACGTCCCACCCCTTCCCATCAGCACTCTCGTCAAAGCTACACCCCCAAAACATAAACGTGCACTGACTTTCCCATTACTCGCTCGCTAGCTTCTGGATATATCATTTCGGTGAGACGTTTATGTCTCTGGCTTGTGAAAACTTGTCATGTGCAGTGAGAGCATGGGCAGGATACGTGATCAGGTCAGTAAGTGACAGACAGGTGAGCCAGCCAATCATTTAATTTGGTCCGCATCAAATGATTATTAATGTTCTGAAAGAGTTTTCTTTTTTTATTGATGGCTGTCAGGACATGAAGAGGATTTCAACAAATATGATGAAACGTGTTTCAGACACAAATTACCAACCCTATCTTTAATCAGTGCAGTTCTTACAAGGTAGCACATTGTTACATGGCGTGGAAAATATGAAAGACATATCACTGTCTTACCATTAGCTAGTTAGAAACCTGTTGACTAAACTTTCAAGTGTTTTCTGAAAAATTTAAATATAGCAGCAATTTCTAGAGTGCCCAAAATGTAATAAAAAGGAATACATTTGATTTCCAGTGTCTGAAGAATATAATTTGTGAAAAAGCACAGTCACTACATGCATTACTCCAGCCACTGATTTGCTGTACACAGTAGGTCAAAGAGACACACTGTGGAGTTAGTTATTTTAAAGGAAAGGATGATGATTAGTGCAATCATCAGCATTATTTAGGGTTAGTGGTATTAAAACAAATGTTATTTATTCCTACAGTATCATAAATAGCTGCTTTTTACTGCAGTATTCACTGGGTGAATATTAGAAGGAGAGGAGGAGTCAAGATGAGGGAGGAGGGTCCATGACTGGGGTATTAAAGCAGGATTTGGGGTGAAACAGTAGTCGTTTGTTCTACTGTCTCCTATGGAAGCAGAAGCAGCTTCAATATAAAAAAGCATTTACATTCACACACACACACACACACACACACACACACACACACACACACACACACACACACACACACACACACACACACACACNCACACACACACACACACACACACACACTTGCACAAGAAGCTGTCTTGTCACCCACCAGATCCACCAAAAGCATCAGCAGCAGGGCCCGCAGCCACGGCAGCAGGACCGTCTCCTGGGGAAGGTGCAAACGCATCTAGGGTATTGCAGACGAATACAGCCGGAACGCAACACACACAAAACATAACCCCCAGGGCCAACACATCGACAGACACATGGATGTAAAGAACAGAGGATGAGTAAAGAGATGGAGTGGACAGGAAACAAAAAATGAGAGGTCAGCATCAGGGAAGAGCAAGGAATACAAGAAATATGCAGCCTGCTTACTGTGGTGATTGATCTGATTGTACCACCATTAGTCACACGAGGAGTTTTGGAAGGCTGCATAATGCTGCATTCAGTGAGTGCACAGTTTGTGCAGGGGTGTGATATGAGGTTGTCACAAGTAAGTTTTGCTCTGTGACAGGTAGGAAAATGTCAGGTTCAGGGATGGAAAAGGAAGAGTATCTCTTTGACGAAGAAATTCTGTTCAAATTCTTTTCAGCAGATACAAATGTTGGGGCTGGGGATATTATTAAAAAGCCAAAAATATCAGTAAATAAAATCCAGCTATTCATCAAATTTATGAAACTGTTGGTGAGCCATTCGGGAGACATGAGTGATAAACAAAAAACGCAAAAAGCCACTAATAGGAGATTAATTACATTGCAGTGGGTTTAATGAGGTGCACATGTTTATAATGAAACACTCTAATGAACGCTTAAAACATGTTAATGTCTAAGCACATTAGTTTTTTAACTGTGCAGCCTCGAATAAATCCAGAGAAAAGCAAGTAATCCTCTGCAGTGCCTGGTATTTTTGGGATGTGCCAGAAATGATAAATGTTTTGCTCTGTGCTCAGTGCAAAACAGGGTTCGTGTTAGCACATTAGAGTGCATGCTTGTAACAAATGAGGGAGAATATTAAAAACAGCTAAGGATAGATTACCATTACATTTGAGTCACACCACTAAGCATGTAATTTATGAACAAATATAAATCTGATGATCTTACGCTTGCCACTAACCACATGGAGGAAAAGATTTTTAACATATGTGCTAATCCAAACAAAGATGGCGGACATGATGATTCTCCTTGTTCAGTGTGTAAGTGTGTTATCAGTTACATTTACCCGCTAGGACGGTTGGTTGATGTCATTATGTGTGTGAGTGCATGCGTATGTCATCGTGAAAAAGTATGGTCCTGAGACACTATCTGTCATAGTGGACATAGTTCATCACAACTGTGCCCAATGTTGTCACAAAACTTTACAGGTGTGTATTTCAGTGCAAAATGAAGGCTGAATTTGAAGATGGGTGTGGTCCCATGACTACTGAGTATGCATGTCATAATATGGTAATAACCACTGAGCGCTCATGGGACAGAACCATCAACATATTGATGAGCGTTGAAATGTTTTTTTCTTTTTTTCGTCAGCAGACAAAATTATTTTTTAATCCAGATGTTAAGAATATTTGAGGTTTGTGGAAATACATACATAACAGTGGAAATTGTTTTGTTTTTTTAATCAGATTTTTAGCTCTGTGACTCAAATGTTGATGATAATATATAGCACAAGGCACAAACTGGGGTTCTGGTGCCAACTGCTCATTGAAATGTCACAATGTACATTTTCATATTTGTTACTAACAGGTCTTCATGTGACATCTCAAAATGTGAGTTATTCTCCTCATTCTTTAGATATCACAGAAACATACATCACATACAATATTTATCTGATAGAACAAAAGTTGATTTTCAAAAGAACAACTCTTAATACATTTACCATAATAGAAAGTTTAAGAAGTCATTTTTGGACAAAATTGATTTCAGGACGAAATGATTGTAGCAGACGGGCATGAATATGGGCCTATATCCAACCGTCGAACCACACTGACCTCCGAAAAGGTCGATTTCTGTGGCTGAGGTGGTGACAGGAGCGGAGATGGGCAGAGAGGCGGGGACTGGTGCAGCTGCAGCAGCAGTAGTAGCAGTGGCAGCGGCTGTGGGTGCGGCAGCTGCAGGGGCTGCTGCAGCATCAGCATCAGCAGACTCTCCCTCGGCCAGGAGAGCTTCAGAAGCTCCATCAGCTGGAGCTGCTAGGCAGGTTTACCCCATAATCCAAATGCAACGACCCCATTACAAGAGAGAAGAGAGGAATAGCAAGATAAAAAAAGTAAGGTAGGTAGAAGATGGCAGAGTCAAAGTGACTGAAAAATGAAAAAAGTACAGACGTGTGTGGTGAGAGATTACCAGGAAGGGTGCTAAATAATAAATACATTTGTTTAAATTATAATGCAACCTGACACTGAGACAACAGAGAACTTTAGGTAGAAATCCCAGATGGACAATGAAAAATCTGCAGGCATGTCTTATGTTCAGTCTGTCAATGGAATACTCACCGTCAGCCAAGAGATCTGCACAAGAGATGAACAGAAAGAGACACAGATGAGAGAGGATGAATGACAGCATGAATACGTATAACTATAAAACGCATAGGTGCTCTGCTGAAATTTAAAAATCTGTCATTTGCAAGTTGCCAACAACAGACGCACAACAATGTAAAAGCCCAATAGAGCTAAAAGGTCCTTAATGTAATTTAAGTACTTAAAGGTTACAGTTGGATTCTGCATGTTCAGGGGATCAGTGGAGATGTGGGGATGAGCAGCGACAGCTTTACAATGGAAATGCGGTTCCACATAATCAAATAAAAACATTAATGAGGGTAGCACTTCTTTATTCTACTGCAGGGAGTCACTTAAGTTTGTTTAACTCATCTCATTTACAACAAATAGTGTATTCTCCATGTTACTGCCGATTATTATCCAAAGCATAATCTTCTTTCAATCTCATCTCAGCAAATGGTTTCCATTAATTTATCTGCAGTGATGTCAGCTCCCTTTAAGCTTTGGAAAATGGTCGACAGTAATGTTAAGTAAACAGGTTTGTAATTGATGGGATGAAACATGCATGGTCTATTTCAGTGTGATGGGTTTAATTTGATTAAACATTTACTCAGATTTGTTTCTGTAAGTTGATTCAAGTTTCGGTCGGTCGAGATGTTTTAGTGTAAATTGACAATTTGCTCAATGCGTCCTCCCAACAGCCACTGTGGCTAACTACCTAACACACACTCTAATTTGGCTTGTCTAGCTTTTAGCCGACAGTTATCAATCCGAAATCTGTTTCTGTGGACTCCCCGTTTAGACAGTTGTCTAAATATCATTGCAAACATAAGCAGTGATAATGTTAAATTGTGATGCAATATGTACTGAACGCATGTTCGCTAATTATAAACGCAAAATAAAGCATTCCTGAACTTTGACAGATTGCACTCCCCCTCTCCTTGCCCCCTCCCCCCCTCTGAGGCAATGTCAGTGTTTATTGACTTCCTGAAAGTCGCAGCTTTACAACAGTAAACTTAAAGCAAAGGATGTGTCTCTCAATAGACATATACATTTCACCTGAAGACATATTGTTTATTTTCCCTCACAGTTGAATCTTGAATCTAACCCAGGCTGCCTTGGTAAGTGCCGCTGCATCATCTGATGCACGTGTGAGGCGGGAGGTCTCTCCATGATTTAAATGTTCATAACTCTGCGTGAATTTTCAACAGATTTTTGAGCCGTTTGCTTTGTTAAAAATGTCAGATGTGTATTTATGTCCATTATGACTGAAGATTTTCATTGAAACAAATTGCTTCTATACATGATAATGAAGTAATAGTTCTATAATAATGTATTTAAGATTAACTTACATAAAACAATGGTCTATGTGCCTTATTTGTTTAGCTGATATTTTTTTGTCCATATATATATATATATATATATATATATGCATATTCAGTACATCTGTACATTCGGTGGTCCCCCTCCAGGAATTGCTCTTGATAAAGTTCTCTGTTTATCGTTCCCCCTAACCGTAAGATGAAACAATGAAAGATCCGCCCCTGCTGACAGAGCAGAAAGTTCTCACCTCCCCATCCGGTCATAGAACAAGCAGCTGTAGCGCCCCCTGTTGATGAGGAGGAAATTGGATCCAGATCCAACAAGAACCCATCATCAAGGGCACTAAAGAAGGAAAGTGAGAGAGTGAGCGTTGACAGAAGGGAATCCATTTCTAATGTAATATTGATGCAGCTCAAACACTTTAATATTGTTGAATGACTCCTACTTGCTGGTTTTGGTGATGGGGGCTGGTGCAGTGGGGGTGACAGCAGGCGGAGGAGGTTTGGTAGGCGGCCCAGGGCGAGCGGGAGCACGAGGCGCTGGCCTGGCCGGTGGTGCGGCAGGAGCAGGAGCAGGAGAAGGAGCAGGAGCAGGAGCAGCAGCAGCAGCAGCAGCAGCAGCAGCCGGCGCACTGTTGTTGGCCGTAGCTTCCGGCTGCAGAGAGAGACCCCCGTTAATGTGCTGACAAACACAGTTATGTAAACAGCTGTTTAACACATGAATTCACAATGAATCACCACATGTCTGCACTTGAAACCTTGTGAAGTTAAATGTCGAATTCAGCATTTACTTTTTACACATGCTCTGGTAATGCTGTCACGCTCTAAATAACTGTGTTTTGACAGTGAAAGGGGCTATGTATAAGCAAAGACTATCATTATTACCACCACATAGTGATTATCATGAAACCTAGCTTACCTTAGTGGGTGACCTGCAAAAACAATGATAGTACATGAGTTAAAGGGCTTAATGGTGTACTTGCTGAAACATAATAGCTGTTACTGAGATGGAAGACAAAGTGACAGTGTAAGTATCACTTTGGTGTTTTTCAGGCAGGCAGCATTTCAAAGCAATTCCATTTAGTAAACATCTGCAATTATAGGATCTACGTCGCACAGCTGAGTAATAGCATCTTGGCCCCAGCTCCACTTCGGCGTAGCTTTGCCTTTTCACGGTAGCACAAAAAGAGATTGTTGTTTTTGAATTGGAAGCTGTGTAGAAGCCGGAGCTGAGTGTCAGATGATTACAAAGACAAATATTTAATGATGACGCTAACATCAGAAAATATTAAATGAACACAGAAAAAATGAACTTTCTATAGAAGTTCATCTCGAACAAGTGTTTGGTGTGGAACAATAATGGTGTCTGTGACTTGTTCAGATTTTGTTCTATAGAATCAATCATGCAAATCAAACAGGTTAACACAATTACTACAAACGATGGTAAATTAGTATTTTCAAGTACAGTTCCCATTGAGAGAGAATACTTACTTATCCTCTCTGAGTTAGGTAAAGACAGAAGAAACAACATGTCAGTGAAATAAACAGATAGAGAAGATACTGTCACTAATTTAATCTCAAACAGGCCCCAGGGAAAGAGCAAAACCACTTGTAAGAGTACTCAATATACTCAGGTGCATGTTGGACACCCAAAGGCTCAACTAACCACTTCTCACATGGCTTTCAGCATGGCACAAACCATTACACTGTGTGACAGGAGGGCTATTGAAGCTTTGGCTCTTTATATGGTAAACAATAAAAAACAGCACAGGCAGCAGAAACATCTGGCTACTCACGGCTTCTTCCCCTCAAGGGTGTTGAGGTGGGTCTCCAGGGACTCCAGAAGACTTTCCGGGGCCTGATCACCCCGCAGGGCACCACAGGGGAAGACAGAGGACGACACAGTTAAAAAGAAACCCTAATTTATGATTTTAACATGTTATGTCGTGTCGTTTCAGTATTATCATACAGCACCATGAGAAACACAACGGAGGTTTCAAAAGAATACACTTTTAAATGAGTTACACAGACACATGGAGTCACTATGGGATTACTGTATTACTGTACACAAGTAGAGCTTTTGCAAAGATGGTGGAATCTTGATAAATGCAGTTTTTATACCTCTTTTGCACATGTGTACACCAGCAAAAAAAGGCGACTGACTCCATTCCCAGCCAGTACAGGAGTTTGCCTTTCGTTTTTTCCCCGTGCACTGCCGACTGAGGCCCTTGCTCCCCTCGCTGTCTTGCCAAATTAACGATTTCACTCGAGTTTCCATTCCTGCTGATAGGAGCTGAAAACCCTGTGACTACTGTCATTTGACGTGGGAGTGAATGCAATTTGTATTCATTCCCATTGCAGACAAAAGCCAGATGTTAGTGGGAGTGAGTGGTTTTTTTTGACGAGTGGAAAAGGGGATATAGTCAAGGCCCTACTCTTATAATATGAGAAGAAAGATAAAAATGGAGTGTTACAAAAAAGCACCAAATTGACCCCATGTAGACTACCACAAAAATATATTTCAAATGGCATCTCAGTAATAACTCAAACTAAAGACACACAGCATCGTAAAAGAAGAAACCTGGTAACTGAAGTGTCATTTTGTTTCACAAGATAAGCATCATAAAGCCCATGCTAGTGAAGCTGTCTGATATCCAGATCCTGAGTTTATCTTCCTTGTGCAGACTCAACAGCACTCTATTCTCTGATCCATCCATCTCTGAATCCACTGCCTCAAAAGCTAACTTACGTCTGGCACACCTAAATACATTTGTTTTCCTCAGCTTATGTCAAGGTATCCTTATTAGTGATTAATCACTGCCGACAGACTGAAGGCACACTGCCCTGAAAAATGAAGGAGGGGGGATAAAGGAGGGCACAAAAGGACAAAAACAGAAAAGGTTAAGTACTGATACCAATAGAGTGAACAGAACAATGTTCCAGTCAGCCAAGATGAAAAGCTGCATGCTCAACCAGGCCAAATGGGACATTATCACGTCCCATCAGCAATAAAATGGATAGCACAATAATATCCACTAGGCTTATTAAGCAAGGTCAAAGCCTATTCAGCCAATGAAATAAGTCACTAATTCACTTAATCCCCTGATCTATTTCCTGGATGAATCCATTTAAATCTGCCTGGTATATTATCCTTAAAAGCGTGAAAGGCCAACAAAGCAGACAGACTGATATGTTCGTCTTGGCAATAAGAGGGATGAGCAGACCATTTCTCAACCAGGGACTCCACCGAGGACAAAGGGCACCTTTAACAGCTCTGTCACTGTAATATTTCGACACACACAGTTGTAGTTCTCATCCGAGGAGGCCAGCGTAAAATGTGCTGGACCATCTCCCTGTGGACGTGACAGCAACAGGCCTCCAGGCATTTGCTTGACAAGATTATATCACGTGACTGACACTGCCATCATTTGCAGAGACTTTCTACAAAACAGACACAGTTCTAAAGAAAATAGTACGCAAGAGCACACGGGTGATGACATAACAACACGGCAAGAGAGTCAGTAAGATGTGAAATGATCTGTTCTTGTTTGCGCTGCTGTACTGTGATACATCCTGGAAAGGGTGAGAGCAGAAACTTGTGGCTGAGATTGATATTGTACCCTGTCCTTGAATTCTAAGTCAAATTGTATCACTCATACAGTATCTGATTATTAATGGTTGAGCCTCTCAGGTCTGTAGGCTTTGCCTTAAATATTAATCATGTAATCCAGCTAAATTATAGAAGAGTGAGAAAAGTGGTGGTATGTTTTAAACAGAATCTAGAATTTATTTATTGTTTAGGTTTCATTTAATGAAATATGATGAATCCAAACCATCTTAATAGCACTGCAATGATTTTCATGCTTCAAATACAGTATGAGTAGAAGAAAAATCAATAAAAGTCGATTTGACTTAAATTCAAAAAGGAAATAAATGTATTCCTAAAGAGGCAAATCCCCACAAAACATAATATTGTGACCAGACATATTGAAATTTGAGAAGCTTTTGGGGGGAGAATCTTTTGCTGCTGTATTGCAAACACAGATGTAATATATAAGTTTAAATGCCATATTTGGGTTTGTATGCTCCTTAACATGCACTTTATACAAATATGGTAGAGATACTATAGGAAAACACAACAAGAAGATTGATATCATTTAGCTAAAACTAGGTTGGGTTGCAATATAGTTTTTTCTTTTTTTGAACAGATTAAACAAACAAATTAACATCTCTATACTTAAACCAAGCAAAAAGATTTACTTTTTCCAGTTTTTAAAGTAAGTTAGGCTAACCAGCTGAGCTAAGCTAACCAGCTGCTGGTTCTAGCTTTATATTTACAGACACACAAATGGTACTAATCCTCTCAATCCTCTCCTCTGATAACTCTCAACAAGAAAGCCAAGAGGTGTATATACAAAAATGTTGAAGTATATAAAATAGCAGCCACAAATCCATTGTAGTAACTTAATACAAACAGCTTTGACTCAAGATAGTGAATTTGCGAATTTGACTCAAATCTAACATCCAGTCTCCATATACTGTCTCATAAAAGTGTCATCAGTATGCTTAATTAAACACGGCATGGATCTGTTTAACACTAATACCTCTGACATGACAAGTATTACAGCGTGCTTTTCATGCATGTCGTCCACAATGCCATGAAAGGATAACCTCAGCTGATGAGCTTCCACAACAGAACAGACACTACATCCATATGTTTTTATTGGAAGAAGGTATTTTCAAACTAAAATGATCTATGTCCACTCAAGCATTTCAGTTCTGTCTAACTTTTAATCCTGGTCCATACTCACGCACCTGAAAACACAACATCACATGACCACTCACGTACACTGGGTATGTGTGTACTGGTGTAAATAGGTAGGCATGCTAGAATGAGTACTTGTCTCCAACGTATGTCAACAGTTGTGTCATTGTAAAATGCACAATTTAACTGCACAACAGCTGTTAACAAAGACAAGACAAGGTCAGTAACACAGTGGGATATGCCTCCTCTTCAAACAAGGGACAAAGTGTAACTGTCACAAAATCACAGTGAACACAGCAGGAATCATAGGTTAGATATTCACATGACATACAGTATTGGACAGTAGAGGAAAAACAGAGTATTAGCATTCTCTGTAGCCTAAAACATAGTGAGGTGAGGAAACATCTTAGTCAGTCTTACCTGAGTGAGTTCGGGTATGTCATTTTTGTCTATTCCCACTTGCTGTAAAAGAATACAATGACATTTAATGAAATAGTAAATAAGTAGTACAATATGCAGCTTATACTCAGAGATATATTGTACTGTGTAGGCTACCTCAGCGATTTTGAAGAACTCGGAAACCCGAGTCATTCGTGTAAGGAATCTCTTGTAGATCTCCAACCCGTCTTTACACTGGCTCCTCTTCATCTGGAAAAACTTTTCTGGATAAAGAGATAGTACAATGTGACTCCTTATTCTCATATAGTTAAAGCTCACATGAAAACCTAATGTATGTCTGCACCTGTCACACATATAGTGTCCACCAACATGTCTGATCACTGATATCTTGAGTCTGCTTCTACATTTTTCAGTGTCAGCTTATGTAGCCCTAGATCATGATTACAACACAACTGCTTGATATACAAAACGCCTACTCACATCTTATGCCGTTAAAATAACTCAGACATTTTCTTATGTATAAATACTTTAAACATTGACACAATTCTCCATTATGTTACAAACGGTTTCTTCAAAACACACTTGCAAATACTGCACCTTATTTACAAAATTCTGCACCTTGTTAAGCCCTATGAGACAAATCATGATTTGTGAATATGGGTGAATAACTAAAATTTGATTGATTGATTGATTGAGGCACCTTGTGAGTCATGTGATCATTCAGTCTTTTACTTGTTGTTAAACTGCCTTTAAAGACCAAAACCAAAACATGAATCAATCCTGCTAATAAGTATTGTGTGTAGCCAAAGTTTTAAATCTTATTTGTCCTTGCCAAAGACATCCACTGTGTCACAAACCAGTGCACTGGGTGATATGTTGCTTCATCACTGTGAAACCAGGCACTGCAGTTTATTTTGAGACAGCTCTGTTGCTGTAAATACTCACTAGAGGATTAAATCTGCAAAACAGAAATAGTCCCCAACAAATGCACCACTAACTCTTGTTTCAGTAACTTTTCCTAAAAACTGCAGTGCTCAGCTGAACCATTTTGAAGGTCAGTGAGAGGGGAAGAAATGTCTTAGTGCTGAGCACCGCAGACAGGGAATGTAAGTCAGAAAGTATTTAGAAATGGACAAACACATTGATGGTCTTTTGATCTCCTCCTCCTTTTTTCAGAGGCCAGAGGAAGCCTGGCCTCCTCATGAAAATATTCTAATCAAGAAAACAACATTAAATATTCCAAAACCTTTGTCTTTGTCGAATTTCGCCATGTCCCTGTCATTAAAATGTCATATTTTTCTTTTGAAGCTGGTGTGGTTAGCTTAACAGCGCTCCTCAGAAACATTCAACAGACTATACAAGAGGCTATGGTGCAGACTGCTGGGATACCAAACCAGCGATGCAAACATAGCTGCCGAGTTGGGAGAATTTTGAGCTCAGAGTCAGTATTGATAGCGAAAAGGAGGACAAGGGCCCCATGGATTCCTACCGACACCTCTTTTTCCAACTACTGGATGACATTGTGCACCATATGACACAAAGATTTCAAGACATGAATAATCTGTCCTGTTACCTGGATAATGCATCATTTAAGACATACTCTCAGCCTGAAGGATTCCCTAACTGTGAGATTTTACAGCTGGTTGAGACCTACCCACTTTTTGATGAAGAGAGACTAGAAAACGAACTGCAGGTCATCTACGCATAAGCCCTATTTAACAAAACCCCAGGGGAGCTGCTGGAGATCCTCATAAAGGATGAACTGACCACTGACACTGACAAGCACATTTGCAGAAAGGTCTTTTCCTGCCTGAAAAGGATTACAACCTTCTGAAGAAACACCTGTGGGCAGGAGAGAAGTGGCCACTTGGCAAGGAGATTTCAATGGAATCCTCTGCTCCACAAGACCTGAGGTCCTGCGGAGAGTTAAATGACATAGTCCCTGAATGTTTCGCTACAATGAAGAAGAGGAGAATGTCCTTCCTCTACAAGAAGTTGAGAGTAGAAAGTTTAATTTATTGTTGCACACATGGAAATAGAGGCAACTCTGTCCTTCTGTCCCTCTCTGTCTGCCTGTCACTTCAGCACCTCGGACAGCGGTGTGGCCCGCTCTGGCCTTGTATATAATGTGGGTTGTTGTCTTTAAATCATATTTGGGTCTAGCATCAATTGTGGCTGTGGCTGAGGGGGTAAAGGATCGGCGGTTTGATCTCAGTCTTCCCCATCTGCATGCCGAAGAGTCCTAGGGCAAGATACTGAACCCTGATTGCACCTCATAGAAAAAGTGCTGCCCATAGCTGCACTGTATGAATGAACGGGTGAATGGCAATGATACACAATGCATTATAATCTCTTTAGTATGATCACTTGGCTGTTGTCTAAATTACTTCACTTTGATACCGAACAGAAATTTGATTGTGTCTCATCGTGTGCAGCAGTCCGTAGTCTGTGCGTCACCTACTGGGCCAGCAGTCTAATCGTTTTAGCAACATACACGTAGCACTGTTAATATCCACTTAATCGTGAACTTTAAATGAGTGCGTCTTCAGCTATGTGTATGTATGCGTTGCTATGTGTTATTCTTCAGATGATGAGAGACAAAACTTGATGGTTTTAACCTGTATAGCTGTGGTGTGTGATTGTGTGTATATCTTTTAGAACAAAGGGCTTTATTGTTTCCTGCTGATTGCAGTTATATTGTTGGAGATTCCTCCTCATTGGGTATGCAGATCATTCTTCTTTTATTATAAACCAGTGCCTATGACTGTGAGAAGTTTGTACATGTTGTGTATTTGTATTTGGAGAAGGAAGTCACACCTCATGTTGCTTTGCACAGTGTGATGAGAAGCATTTCCCCTCAGTTACCAATCTTGTTCATTCTGATCCAGTGATCTCCATTGTAATATGATCTCCACACTGAGTTAATGGCTTCCTCTGTAATATTTGCCTGGCGCCGCCACTGCCTTCCAGAGCACATGACTTTTGTTCATTGATTATTGAATTGATCATGTGATGAGTTGAAGATGGAGTGACTCTTTACCGAGCAGGTTAATGATGCCGTCATTGTAGCAGGCATATAACTTGATCAGATCTTTGAAGAGCAGAAGGAAGCAGGCTTTTATCACTCCATTGTCCAGATCTGGAGGATGCACCTGTGGACACAAATAAAAGCCATGAGGCAAAGTGTGGTTAGGATTTTGAAGGTGAATAGATGGGAGTGAAAACTTCTTTTGAATCAGAAACTTAAGAGAAGAATTAAATGACAAAGACAACAACATTTCTTAGTCTCTGTACAATCAGTGGTACTGTTTGTTGAATTTCAACCCTCTGACAATGTTCCTATGTATATAAGAGGCTGTGACTACAACACTAAGCCTGCTTGAACCCAGCTGACACCTTTTTGTCTTCAATGTGTTTATCCCTCAGCAAATTCAATAACCTTGCAAAGTGACCCTATTAGCGAGTGTCACTCACATCAAAATCCAGCAGTGCATCGATCTGGCTCTGCAGGGTCGGCATTCCTTTCAACAGCTTCTCTACAGACATGGTCCTCATCGCTCCCTCAGCTCTGAGACAGGGGAGGAACCGAGAAGGGACAAGAGAAAGAGTGAGAAAATTAAGCTGAAACATTTGTACGCCTGCAAAGAATCTAAATATTAAACCCCCTTTGTTAATTAGGAACAGCATGGGCTGCATGGTCTAGTATCCATTGTAATGAATCAAGAGCTGAGACATTTAGACTCACATACTGTCTGTCTCACTCACATGAAAACCTAATGTATGTCTGCACCTGTCACACATATAGTGTCCACCAACCTGTCTGATCACTGATGTCTTGAGTCTGATTCTACATTTTTCAGTTTCAGCTTATGCAGCTCAGAGTCCTTGTGCTTCATAGTTTGCAGATCTAGTATCGCTGCTGCGGCCACATTGTGGATTATGACGGTGGATTGTAGACTGTCATCAAGGACCATAGATCATGATGGCTACTGGATCATGGTTGTGGGGGGGGGGGCAGCTGATCGTGGACTATGACTACAACAAGACTGTTGATATACAATACGCCTACTCACATATTCTGCCATTATTTAAAATAACTCATATTCATTTGTCATTGCTGCTCACTTCTTCTCTATCAGACATTTCCTTATGTATAAATACTTGAAACACTGACACACTTCTCCATTATGTTGCAAACTGTTTCTCCTATTCAATCTTGTAAATAATGTTATTTTGCTGACATTCTCAGTAACAAGTGAAATCTATTGCACTTCTGTCTGTCCTGGAAGAGGAATCCCTCTCTCTGAGGTTCCTATGTTTCCCCTGTAAATAGGGATTTTGGTAGTTTTTCCTTACTCTTGTTGAGGGTTAAGGACAGAGGATGTCGCACCTTGTTCAGTCTTATGACACAAATTGTGATTGGTGAATATGGGCTATACAAATAAAATTTGAATGACCGATTGAGGTTCCTTGTGTCTGCCAGCTAAGCAGAGTTGTATTCATTTCTGTATATCAGTAAAGCCATGCACTTGCCATGCTAGAGGTAACTGAGTTCATCCCACGCGTGTTCACAACCTCTGTGGGATGTTTGATATTCTGATGAATATGGAGGGCAATTAAAAAGCGAGCATTTTCTAGACCCACATGCATTCAACAACGTTTTTTTTTATTAGACAAAGAGCTGAAATTATTAAGCAGAAGGGGTTGTGAGAAATGAAAACCAGTACCCTTTCTTGACTCGTCCAAAGTCAAAAGACATCTGTCTGTAGGCGAAGGCCTTCTCGTTGAGATAGCGGCTGTAGCGTCTGATAAATGTGGACATGTCGTAGCCTGAGGAAGATGCAAATAATACACATGTAAACATGCAAAGTCTTCAATGTCAACTTAGTGCAGAGTATTAGTAAGCACTGAAAATGTTCAATACTTTCATACTGTAAACAGTGAGATTTCTGTCTTGTTTGATTATAATGCATGTAGGTGTTACTGAATATAAATAAGGTGAAAATACCAAAACTCAAATGAAAAAAATAGCACAATCCATATCCAGAAACCGTGCCTCAAAACAAGCCATAAGGAATTACTGTACTTTAGTGTTTCCAGTTATGTATTAATTATTCTACTTTGTACCCCCACAGTTTCATAGAAATCCCCAAAAATGTAATTTCTCATAGTAAAAAGTAATTTCTGTGTGCTTGCGTTATGATCCATAATGTTGCTACCATCCGCACAGACAGTCAGACCTCATAGTTTCAGCTGCAGTTCTTTCTCTCTTAGGATAACTTATCTTTCACTATTTAGTCTATGTATCTGTGAATCTGTTGCACATCAGAGTGTCCTTCACATACATGCACCTCCGTTACCTCCATTGTGGGAAATAGTGTAAGTGAGTAATAGTAATTCTGTTAGGTTACTATGGAAAAGTCATCACCCTCTGCCACACTCCCAGCATGGCCCATATGGATCCACTATTCCATCTGCGTCTTTTCTTTTTTTAACAACCTGTGGTTGCTGTGGTCATGCGTCACTCTGCAAAAAGCCAGAAGCTCAGAGACCTACACAAAACGTTGTGTCCTGTTCTGAGACAATTAGTTTAGCTTAGCTTACCTTATTTTACCTTTGCTTCGTTTAAAGACTGGAGGTAACGCAATACAAAGCTTCAGAGGTTACTCTTAACAAGACAGTTAATAGGTTAATTTCTCTAAATGTCAAACTATTAATAACAAGGGTGACTTTAATAAGCACGTGAGGTGAAAGGTTCTTTGATTCCATGTACAGGTGACTGTTTTATGTACTCCGGATTTATTTAATATACAAAATATCTTAAAAGGTTGACTATGTGAATTTGTAAGAACTGGTCAAAGGGTTATTACATATGAATATTACATAGAGAGAAAAAAAAACACTTGCTACTGTGAAAACTTTTTTCTCCCCCAACTTTATGTATGTGTTGTATTGTATAATAACCTTTCAAAATCATTCCTATTTTCCTTTCTGTGAATAATTGGCTCTGTGTAGTTACACTATTTGTATATACTGTATATTTGCTATGAGAATTTCAAAAGACAACTGTCACTTTAATTTTCTTTAAGGACTAGGTGGACTGAGGCAGTTATGGATTTCACATGATCCTTACTAGACGAAAGTAACCCTTAACACAAAGCTAAATACTGACAGCTTGTAGGATGTATTGTATTAAACCTGGTATTAACCCGTAGCCAACATATCAATGACAACAGGGTTTGAAGCCAGTGTTTATCACTGTAGGACACCACATTCATTTCCATGTTGATGAATTTCATTGAGCAGGGAAAACTACATAGATATCAAGAAGGGAAGTTAGTTTTGTCTACATAAGGACAGAGACACCACCCACCATGGGAGCCAGTTTTGTCCAAGAAGTTGCTGAGGTTGAACAAGGTGTTTCTGGAAGCCAGGAACTGCATGAATTTCTGTGGGAGAGGACAGAAACATAGTGTTTACTTCTCTGACAGGCACTAAATGAAAATGGCTACAATTGAAAAAAGCTTCACTTAGCTAGCATTCTTGATTTAAACCTTAGGCTACTGCAGTGATATGGCTTACTAACTGGCAAGCAAATGCGTGGTTTAAGATTGAAAATGCTCTAAAATGTCAAGAATAGTGAGTTCCAGACCTAATGAGAGAAGGAAACTGAGAATTCGTATTAACATCTAGGCTGAAAAATAATGTAACAATAATATAACAATAATAATAATATGATAGAGAAATAAATACACTGATGGCAAAATAATGAAGTATGTGTAGGCATACAGCTGTTTTAGATTCAGGTAAAATATGTTTGCATATGGCTGTTTTAACTTAAATAATGTTTATAATGATTTTTTAAAATCAAAATCCATAAAAGACAAGAAAAATTATATATATATGTTGTTCAATGAATTCCCTCATATGATGTTTTGTTGATGGGAGTGAGCAGTAGGCAATTTGTGAGAAGAAATTCATCACCCTTGATAACCTGCCAAATACTCTGCCATCTCCTCTCCTCCATCCATTATGAGACAGAGTGCTGCACGTGCACATGGAGAATTATTGTGTGCTGCTGAGCATCCTATACATTAATGTTGCTTACTTGATCTTAAAAGTCGAACCACCTGCTCCTGCAACATTTGTGTATATAAAAATAGATATACATGACGGACGCATGCATACGTCTGAAACAGGAGCTTGGGGATTTGCACATGTGTATGTCTGGAACAGCTCTGCAGGAGGATGTTTCTCACGATGCTCCGCCTCCCACGAGGCAAAGAGTGCTGTCCTCCTCTACTTCTCGATGCCATTCTGGTTGTTATTTACACACTGTTTCTGACCACGTCTCTACTTTGACCTCCTCCTGTATCGCTTTGGGTCTGACCAACACATATTTCAAAGGAGCAGGTGGTTCCGACATTTAAAATCTAGTTGGCATGTATGGGATGCTCACCAGCACACAATTCTCCATCTGCACATGCAGCACTCTCTCTCATAATGGATGGAGGACAGGAGATGGCAGGGTAATTGGCAGGTTATCAAGGGTGATGAATTTCTACTGCTCACTACCATCAACAAAATGTCAAATGAAGGAATTGAAGAATTTATTGAACAACAGAGTACTGAAGATGTTCAGGTGGCTCATTTGAATCTCAAAGAAGCTTTTCAGCACTTTCAGGACTTTATGGATGGAAGGAAATAGATTTTACCAGACTTTTTCTTTATTGATTAGACAGAAATTCAGATTTAAAGGAGCAACGCTACACCTCCATGAGTGGGAGGATGTGAATATGAATTTGGAATATGGAGAGCAACAGGAAATAGAGCATGAATAAAGACAAATAAATAATGAAGACAAATAGGTTCAGCAGCCCTACAAGAGGAATGCTTGCTGCAGTGGTAAAAACATCCCCCAAACACACAAATAAACAACACATACACACACTGAATCCTATTTTGTGGATCCGTGTAAACAAAGCAGAACACAATAAAGCGAGTGGAGGTGAGGAATAAAAATTGTCCCTTGAGAACCAGTGAGCTACAATTTCTTTCCTGCTTTCTTTCCCTTGTTCTCTTTCTGTCAACAAGTCAATTCACTATTAAATCTTTTATCACCAGGAACAATACGATAGTCCTGGCTAATCTACGTACCATGTAAAGATATTATCACCTTGTCAAATATAAATAAAACCAACATTTTCACTAACAAAGTGATCTAATTAGAGTGTGTGTGTGTGTGTGTGTGTGTGTGTGTGTGTGGGAAGGGCCAGAGTATCCCACTGTGGCCCATGGAAACAAAAGCACACTTGCCCTTTTTCTCTAACACCTGCTGTAACGAATGCAAAGGTTAATGCTATTATCTTCATAGCATTAAACCTCCACTAGCCATCTTTGCTGCTCCTGTACTGGTATAAAGGCAAACATCAAAAATGAAGAAGGAATAGTAGATATAGAAAATGAATAAATGACTAAATGAGATAATAACTTGATCTCACAGTATCTCTCTGTCTTCTCATTCTCCATTGGTCATTCTCCTTCACTCTCTTAATGAATATTTAAATATACAGTCTCCTCTCCGTCACATTGCTGTATCAATAGCTCCCCGTCCCCTTTGATATACAGTTCAGTGGCAGCTTGGATAATTTAATGGGCAGTAAAGCAGCATCTGTCTTTCTGTCTGTGTTATCCCTTCAGGTCCATTCAGAGCCTTTGCTTTTCTTCAGCTGTCAGGACATAAAATGGGTTAGGAGGTCGGAAACAGAAGGTCAGTCCCTTTGTTAACTCCATGGAGGCCACTGAGGAAAATGTAGCAAACTATGAGGCAACGGTAGAACTTGAATGGGAACATTGTGGCGTCTGACATGGCCAACCCAAATGGCCTAACCCAATAGAGCAGAGAAGAGTTGAAATAGCGATGCATTCTACTTGTAGTATTCATATGCTCAGGGAAAGACTACATTTGAACCGTACTCACTTGGGTTGTATATAATTCGTGTTATAAGCTCACCTCATTGCCATGCACCATCAGGTGGTGTGTGGTGATCAGGGCTTTGAAAACCACCACCCAGCTGGCGTTGCCGGCCCTCTCCATCAGCGTGTCGGCCATCTGGGGGACATTCACAGTGGACTCCTGGGTGGCCTGGATCAGGTCTGACAAGCACCGAGAAGAGAAGGAACAGGTCAAGTGGTGGATATTAGCAGGGGAGGGACTCCCAGTTAAACATTGTGCAAAGAACCCTTTAGTCAAAAACTGTAGTGATGATGGAAAGGTGGGTTATAAATGACAAATAGATGCGTAATAGAGTAAATGAATATGTGTATTTTGCAGCCACACACCATTCACTTGTAAGTGTGAGTGTTTCATCAAGCAAGCAATTGAAATGAGATACCTTCAGATGTGTTCAGTGTTCATCTACCTGTTTTATAACTTTTATGATAGGACAAGGCTCAGCCTCTTTTTATGATATTGTCAGTTGTGTGAAGACATGCTCTTGGCTATTCTTCATGAAAAGACCTGAGGCATCTCTTATAAACTATAACCAGATGTTATTTGTCAGCATTGGATGCAATTGCAAGTCATATCCATGCAACCAAAAGGAGCATTGGAAGCTGCCATGTTGAATCTAAATGAAATTATTTTTAAATGTATACTTCACATAATGCCACCATTGTATGAGTCACAGTTGCGGCTGCTTTGTTTCTTTCTGCAGCCAGTCATTTTTGCGAGCACAGGCAAAATGAGAGTGGAATATTCCACAGCAGAGAGAGGGAGAAACTGCAACATAAGACTCGGCTGTGATGAGAGGTGAACTTTAGGCCCTACAGATCCCAGTCAACACGACAGGGTTCTCTTCGACAACACACTGGATCAGGTATAAGACCTCCTGTATAACAAAATATATCATATATCCTCTAATTACATGATAGGGAATAAAAATGATCATCTTTCTTGCTTATGAAACAGTACAAGAGGTCATAATGTAAGGGACTTGGAAACAACTTTCCAACATGTCAGTGGTAGGACTACAATAATCCTTTTTTTTTTTTAATTAATATTTAATCAAATGGCCTGTATAATTAAACAGTTCACATATTAGATATTAATGGAACCATGAATTTACCCCAGTGGGTTAACAAGTATAATTTATTGTTAATGCTAAAATGCAAGCATGGTATGTAGCATGAAGTTGTAACTTTTTTGTGTTAATGTGATAAGCTAACCAAGAGGACAAGCTACCAAATGCTTAGCATGCCTAATATCCACTGAATGTATGTATTTAGTGGCAGACCACTGAGGTCAGAGGCCTCCATGGCAAACCTCAGGGCATGTCCTCAGAGACAAGAAGTATGCGTGCACATGATGATGGAGGGAGAAGGAATGAAAACGTAGCCAGCACCATTTTCAAAGACTTGATTCAGCAGAGCACGGCGGACACAGAGAAACCACCATTGAGTCCTTTGAGTCATTAATAGTGTCATTTCCATGTCTGCACATTTACTGCCAGCAGTTAAGGAGCCTGCTGACAGATGTCAATGGCATATTATAAACAAAATTCCAATTTAAATGTATTTTATTCTGCACTAACATTACAATGAGATCATTTCTTGTGCCAATGACTATGGACATGTGAATGGTACATTATTTTTTATGTTTAAAATACAGGTTTCTCTTGCCATGATGATAAAGTCAAATGCCCCTTAGTAGCTATGGGAACATAGGCGTTCAAGGTCACTTTGCTTTGACAGTCATGCTACTAGCCTGCTGGCTCATTTGCTTCCTCTATCATGCTATCGTTGTGCAGTAATGACTGCTGTGCATTTCCTCTTCAGTAGTAAGGCAGTGAACAAACACATATATGCACACACAAAATGTGAAGGATAATCCCTACAGGGCTGATGAGTCAGCAGCCTTCATCATCCTACGCTTTTCATCTCTCCGTCTCAGTCTCCGTCTGTCGGCCTCTCTCTCTCTCTCTCTTTCCCACTGTGATGGTCTGTGCTTTGGCCAGACTGTGAGACAAAATCTTTGTAGCAACCTCACCACTGCTCTAAACTGTGTCATAAGAGGAGAGGAAGAGAATGAATTTGCAGCAAATAATACCTGTAAATGAAGAAGATTTCATACACTCAATTATTTTTTGCAGGAAACAGCAGCCAAACACAAAGTGGTATGAATCACATATTTAATAAAACCACTATTCAATGGGTTACTTATGTGTCCAACTGTGAACTGGCATGAGTTTATTTGAAAATGTGTTGGATTACTGCAGTAGAAAAAAATCCTAATCCTGCAGAGAGAGAGAGAGAAGCAGACAGAGAGTCTCTGTTCTTATTGAGATACTGAGCAACAATTCAGCAGGATCTCTTGACTCAGCTCCCACCCACAAGTTCCTTCTCAACTAAATATGTGTGAGTGTGAGTAAGAGGGAGACACAGATAGGGTGTAACGCAGCTATGTATGTGGCCCTTGACAAGTGCTAGCACACGCTCACTATGCTTGGATCCATATTCCATGTATGGTATAAAGCAACACAGAGGATCATGAATCATTTAGCCCATTACCAAAGCACTTTTGACTAGAAGGATGGTATGGACATACTGATCACTACCCACTACCCACCGTGGATATACAATTCATTGGCTTAAGGTAGTATACCGATGCGTTAGCCAGGAATTCTACCACTGAACCACCAATGCTATTTTTAAAGGTTTTTTACGGCTTTTTTTTTTTCGAGAACTCCCATTTATTCCCTGCCAGGGCATTTTATCTGATGTGTAAACCACTTCAGAGACCCCCTAGCTTTACACTTTACTGACATCCGATTGATGGAGGGGTGCCCGACCATTCCTGTTATGTTCCAACAGATATATTCACAACCGCTTCTCGGCGTGACTGGCCAAGTGTACAGAGGTAATAGAGGCGCAGGGTTAATATTTCTCTCTCAAGCCTGACATAACTATTTCTGTTATTTTTCATGTGAACAACCAAGTGAAAGACTATAAAGAGAACGTCTGGACACGTGCAACCTCTTCTATTAACACGTGCTCTCTGATGTCATTGACCAATACTCTATGGAATGCAGAGTGTGTAAGTAACTAGTTGGAAGGTTGCTCATACCCTCATGTAATAAAAGACATGCCCCGTGTGAGGGTTGAACTCACAACCTTCAGATTATGAGACTGACGCGCTGCCTACTGCGCCAACAAGGCTTATTTTATGAACAAAATGTGTGCAAAAAAATCTATATTTAAAAGTAACGGAACTTCAAAAGACTATTTGTCAGTCTAATAACCATACGCATTCAACGATTCAAAATTCAAGATACATGTGTGTATTTTAGAACATTGTTCGGTCCAAATGTTACGTAATTCATTGGCCAAAAGGTAGTATGATGCATTAGCCGGGAATCGAACCTGGGCCTCCCGCGGCAAAAATATATATTTTTACTTACAAAAACGTAATTAATTGTTAATCTCCACGTATTTTCAATGCTTTTTACTCAGAAATATCACATTCAATAACACCGCGATCGGGATACGAACCCCGTCTTTTGGGGAATCGGAAATAAATAAATAAATGAACGGACCCAGAGAGAATGCTTCGATCCTATTGGCTTGCTGGACTGGTCCAGTATTCTCGACTGGCCCCTAATGGGCACTGTAGTTTATTTTAAGTAAACCCACATACACTAGGTATTTTCACACCAGGTAAAAGGTACATGCAAGACATGGAACACAGCCGTTATCAGACATAATTTACACTGTTTTAAAAAAATATGTGTGACCTGTTCCTTTTTGGACAAAAGGAAAATTATGGAATATCAAAACAATATCAAACTCAAAACATACCGGACAGGTCTCCAGTTTCAAATGCAACCCTTTAACACATTAATAAATGCAACTGATATTAAAGCCCCTGTGTGTGAGTACAACTGAGCTAGAGAGCATGCATCCACCGCAGGAAACTCAAGCATATACGTAAGCCTGAGCGTCACACACACAACATCCACCTCGTCTTTCTCATAGATGGATTTTGACTAACTTACCACTGGGGACATGCCAAGGTGGTTTCCTAGGCAACAAGCTCTCATATTTGCAATGGCATCAACGATTCATTCTAATTCTTCAGAAAGCATGGTCACAGGTGCAAACTCCCACAGTAGCAGGCTGATAGGGCCACATGTACATAAGTCATACCAGGCTTTACGCTGCTGAAAGAATAAACAATTCATCCACCACTGCATTCATATACAGCACCTGTCCTTCATATAACCTCTAGGATAAATATTTATGTTATTTTACCCTGAAAATCTTCATATTTCATTAGATCAGTATTGTTGAATGGGAGAGGACACGTGAAACAAGAGGACTGGTGTGCTCAGTGAGCATTTTGTGTTTAAGAGTGCAGCGTGATGTACACCATGCTGCACGAGTGTTGCCTTGTTGAGCTACACATGAACGGCTCATGAAAGCGCAGCATTTATTTATAGCTCCTCTCAGCCTCAAGCAACATACAGGGGGAGAGAAAAATTACCCAGAATGCACTGTATACCAGCGTAGCATCGCACCAATGTGGTGTGGCAGCCAAACAAAGGGGAGGCCAATGGGATGCAGGAACAGGAGAAGCTGGAATCGACATATGAGAAAACTGGTGCACACAGATAGCAGGGTCACTGTCTTAATATAGACAGTTACACTTAAAGGTACAATGTGTGGAATTGTGTGATATCTAGTGTTGAAATCACATGTTGCAGCTGAACACCCCTCACCTCACCCTCTCCTTCCAAACATGAAAAAGTACCTGTGGTAGCTTCAGTCGTCATAAAAACTCAAAGTGTTTAGTTTGTCCAGTCTGGACTAATGTAAAAAACATGGCCGCCTCCATAGAGAGGACCCCCTCCATGTAAATATAAAGTATTTAAATATAAAGGGCCTTTTCTGGGGTAAAGAAAACTACAATTCATACAATTTAGATTAAACGAACTAGTGAAAACATCATGAGGATTATTCTACATTGAATTTCTGCCAATAGTTCGCTTTCACCTAAATCTTACACACTGGACCTTTAAAATGACATTTCACTCAGTTGTAGGTGGAGTGGTGCTTTTCTGCTATGGTGCAGCTCATGAGTAAAAAATCACATGTAAATA